AATCCAGGCGCTCTGCGGGCTCCCTCCGCCGTGGCACCCGAGCCGCGTCGACAGCGACGCGCCTGTGGATGATTGCGCGGACGCACGAGAGGCTCGCACGCGGCTGGCGGCGTGGCTCGCACGGCGCGCAGCGGACAAGCGCACGGGCGCGCACGAGCTGTCCACGCGCCGCCGGGACGCGGCAGCGCTCAAGGCGGCGGGCAACGCGCGCTTCGTCGTCGGCGAGCATGCGGAGGCGCTCGCAAAGTACGAGGCGGCGCTGTCCGCTTGCCCAGCGGTGAGCGCGTGCGCTGCCGACCGTGTCACGCTGCACAGCAACAGCGCCGAGTGTCTGCTTCGGCTTGGCCGCGCGCGCGAGGCCGCCGAGGCATCCCCACCGCCGCCAGCCCCTCCGCCGCTCCTCCCCCCGCCCTCCCCTCCTTCGCTTTCCCCTCTCCCCCCTCCCTCTCCGCCCCCCTCCCTCTCCGCCCCCCTCCCCACCGCCACCCTCCCCGCCTCCGTCTCGCCCCCCGCCTTTGCCTCCTCCACCCTCACCTCCTCCGTCCCCAGGCGGCCAGCGCCGCGCTAGCGCTCGACTCTGAGCACATCAAGTCGGCAGACCGGCGCTCACGCGCCGTGCTGCTGCTGTGCCGCCAGCTGGGGCTGCCGTTTGCGCGCGGCGCCGCCCTCAGCCGTCGGCCGGAGGCGGCTGCAGACCTGCGGACATTCGCGCGTGTGTGGGACGAGACCAACTCGCAGCGCTGGCTGTTGGGCGCGGCGCAGCGGAGCACACCCCTTGCGTGGGACCCGCGGTGCGAGATTGCACGAGATTGCGCGAGACTGCACGAGATTGCGCGAGATACCCCTCGCGTGGGACCCACGGTGCGCGATCTCCCCATATCTCCCCATATCTCCCCATATCTCCACACGATCTCCCCATTCTCCACACCGCATCGTCCTCACACCCGCCCGCACCCGCGTCCCGCCTCCCTGCCGGCCCAGAGCGCACAACAGCCCAGAGTGGACAGCAGCTCAGCGTGGACGGCCCGCCCCCCTGCGACGGGCACGCCTACCTGCCCTCCCCTCTCCCGCCGCCTTGCTCACCGCCTTCATTTCCGCGAGTTGCTACCGCCTCCCAGGCTCGCCTACGTGGTGCTTCTGCTCGACGACGTCGTCAATCGCCTCGTCCCGCTGCAGCTCGGCTCGTGGTTGCCGCATCTGCCCGTGCCGCCCACAGCACCGCCCGAGGCCATGCGGCGGCGGTGGCAGGCTGAGATGGACGCGGGCGGCTCTGGCACGCACAGCTCGCTGCTCGGGCTGGAGGCAACCTACGCAGAGCTGGGCACGCCCGAGCGGGTCGGGCTGGCGATGCAGGCGCAGGCACTCTGCTCGGCGCTCGATGAGAGGCAGGACACTTTCTTCCGGCTGGGCGCCAAGCAGTGGCGCGAGGGCGGCACCATGGCGATGGCGTCGCCGCTGCCCGAGCGCGCGATGCAGGCGCGCCTCATGGCGAGGGCCTTCGAGCTCAGCGCAGAGATGGACGCCAAGCTGTCGGTCCCGTACGAGCTAAACCTTCCCGGCGTTGATGCAGACGAGGCCCGCTACGACGACGAGTTCGGCGACGAGAGTGACGAGGACGACGAGGACGAGGCGGTGGAGGAGGCGTGGCAGCGGTGGGGCTGGGAGGCCACATCGAGGCGCGCGTGGACGCTCTCAGCGGAGCGGAGCGGCATGGCGTTCGCCTTTTGCATGGTGCGCCATGGTCGGCTCGGCGCGGAGAGCGTCTGGAGCCGGCTGCCCGCGGAGCTCCTCTACTACATTGTGCGCACCTTCGTGCTGGAGTTGTGAGCAGGGCACACACACACACACACACACACACACACACACACACACACACACACACACACACACACACACACACACACACACACACACACACACACAGGCACACACACACACACACACACACACACACACACACACACACACACACACACACACACACACACACACACACACACACACACACGCACGCACGCACATACACACAGAGGCCGCCGCCGCAAGGATGGCCGCTTCGGCCTTTGGCTCTCGGAGGATCTGAGTGAACGCGAGACAGTCGGGCGCGAGGCGGCTCCGGCTGGGGGGCGGGAGCACGCACGCTCCACACGGGGTCACGCAGCTCTAGACTGAAAACGAGTTTTACAACTTCACGAAGCGAAACGGGAAATCTCTCCTCTCTCACACGCCGCGATTCACACAGAATCACAACTCTCACGAGACCACGTCCGATGGCTCCAGTGGGAGCACATCCTCCGGCGCAGGCACGCCGAGTCGCGCCCGCAGCTCGGGCATAAAGTGGCGCTCCAGCGCCTACTCTCAGAGCGACTCCTCACTGCCCACTGCGCCATCAGATCTTGCGCTCGCGAAGCGTCCGAGAGGCGCGCCGCGCGGAGCTGCTCCACGGTGAGCTGGCGCGTGTGCAGCAAGAAATAGTCGGCGAGGTGCGCGGGCGCGGTGCAGGCGAGAAGCCCGTCCCGCAGCAAGAGCAGCGCGCCTGTTCCAAGCTTGAGGTGTCAGAGCGGCCTGGTCATGGAAGCCAGCTCCGCAGGCAGGAGCAGCGCGCTGGCGATGGCCGCGCCGACTTGTGTCCAGCCGGCTATCAGGCAGAGGTCCCACACAAAGAGCGTTGCGTCGGGCGAGAGGAGGCCGACGCCCAGCCGCGCGCACGGCGCCTTGAGCAGCAATGCGCTCTTGGCCGCCCCGCCCATCACAGCTTCGAGATGCGCTGCCAGCTTCGCGTCCTGCCCTTTCAGCAAGTCCATGGCGGCGGCACCACCGCCACCACTTGCCGTGCTGGACGGCTGTGGTGCGGGCATCTGCTCCAGCGCCGAGATGAGCGCGTGGTACCGCTCAACCAGCTCACCTGGACGACGGGAAACAAGGTTGGTGCGAAGCGCTAGGAAGTGTGCGCACCGGGGCTGAGATCGCACCCGGATCTGCCTCCTCGCCAAAGACGCGCAGCAGCGGCAGGAGCCAAAAGACGGCGCGTGGCGGCGGAGGCGTCGAGGGCGCGCCCGCCGCATCGGGGGCGAGCGCGGCCGCCATGAGCCTTTCCTCATCCTCCTCTGCACGTTCCTCGAGGGAGCGACCGATTGAGTCGAGAGAGTCGCGATAGGATGCGCAGGCGCGCATCCGAGGCAAGCTCGAGAGCAGCGTCGGGTCTCCCTGTTGAAGCGCCGTCTGGCACTGCCGCAGAATGACCGCGTCGCGAGGTGAGATGAGCGCGAGCGGAGACTCTGCAGCCTTTGCCTCGAATCGCGTGCGGGCCGCGGGAGCCCGAAGTTTGACCCGCCAGAGTGCTCGGCGCAGCGACGGCGGGAGATGGGCGTTCACCAGCCACGCCAGGGCTGCGTGTTCCCAGCGAAGCTCCGTGTGGAGCGGCCATCGGGAGAGCAACTGCGAGGCCCCGTGCCCTGCTATGTCGATGGCCGTCTCCACCTTGCCCAGCGGCCGAGGAGCTTTTAGCAGCACCTCCTCCGATTCGGCGTCGAGGGCGGCGTCGACGGCGCGCCATGCGGCCTCTTTGCATCGGCCGTATACTTCCGTCTGCAGCAGCCCATCCCGCGCCTCTCGAACGCGGGCCGTCTGCTCCTCCGCCGTCAGCTCCGCAAGTGGAGGCACATCGCCTTCGCCGCCACCGGCCGAGCGCATGCCGCTCCTCACCTGTCGCGGAGAACTGAGTGAATCCGTCGCTGCTTTGCCAACAGCTGCACTGTCCTCGTGATCCTCGTGAGAGCTGAATTCCCGGTGTGCACAGTGTGTGCAGCCCGCGTGTGGTCCCTTCCCTCACCTCTGCAAAGAGCTGTGTGCTGAGGGCCTTGAACTCCGGCGAAGCCGCGACCCGCGCGCGCAGCGCGCTCACCCACGGCGCGAGGCTCTCCTGCCGGCGTTCCATGCCGACGAGGCCGCGCAGCGTTGCGCACAGGACGCACGCATATGTGTGTGATGGCCGTTACTGCGAAGCTGAATAATATGTCTGAGTGCGAGGCCGCGCGGGCGCTGCAGTCGCAGCTGCCAGAGCTAGCCCGCGAGAGGCGTATTCGTGCGCTCCAGCGCCAGCGCCAGCACCAGCAGTACCCGATCCAACAGTTATCTCTCGTTCCGCCTGCAGAGGCACCTACGCTTCGCCGGCTCCGGCTGGTCGTGCCGGGAGGGAGCCACACAGACCCGGCGGGATCGTTGCCGCTGTCATACCACAGCCGGTGTCAGCTGGCCGAATCGTCCAGAGCCTTAGGGGCGAGGGACGCCGACTGGGCGGTTCTGGTGCTTCAGGCTGCTGCACGTGCCCTGGTGGTGCGCCGAGATGTGAAGCCGGCGTCTGCAAAATCTCAGGAAACGCGGATCAAGATCCTGCCCTGCTTCCTGACCGGGCAAGGAGGGGCCTACTCCCGTTCCGCGAGGAACAGGAGGTCTCCCCCCCTCCCCCGGCCTGGGCAGCGACGGGTGGACGGCAGCCCCTTCCGGGTTGGCAGGCAAGAGTCTGCGGGGCTCACGAGCCGAGTCTCAACCACACGCCCCCGGCGCCTGTACTCCACCAAGTCAAAGTGAAAAGATCTTATCAGCCAGGCGGGCAGGGCAGGCGGGCAGGCGGGCGGGGTCAGGGAAGAGGGCCCTCGGGTTACGCCTCGCCCGGCCCCCTCCGAGGGGGGAAGGGGAAAGAGGGGGGCCCTCGGGGTGCGCCTCTCCCGGCCCCCTCCGAGGGGGGAAGGTGAATTGCTGTTCTCTGTCCATACTGTGGACCTATTTTGTGTTTTTCTTGGTGGTGGCTTAACATAGTAAGAATATGTCACTAATGTGTATTCTTCAGGCCGCTGTCATTGGTGTACTCCTCAGTATATCATATTTTTTCTTGGCAACCTCTACCGTGACTGAGCGGTTTTTCTTTTTTACCTCGCGGCTGTTCGCATCTCTGCATCCCGATCCCTGCTTTGCACATCGCCTGCCTGCCGCCCTACTACATGCTCGGTCGCTGGCAGCTCCTGCCTGCTTACGCTGGCAGCGTCGCTCTCGTGATCGGACTGTGGTCGGTGGGCGTTGCCTTGATTCTCCTCGCCATCGCCCTCCTGATCACCGCGCCGCTCCCCGTGATCCGCGGACTGCTCGGCAAGTACTCGGTCGGCGTTGTCGACTTCGAAGCGGAGGTGGATGGCGCAAAGGTCATCGGCCGCTGGCTCTACCCGTCCCAGCCTCACCAGAGCAGTGCACTGTACGTGGCTCTTCCTCGCGCCGGCCTCACCGCCGCGTTTGTCGGCACCGCGACGCCGCCTGCGCTTCGGCGCTTCCTTCCTCGTTGGGTCCTCTCCCACTGGAACTGCGTAGCCATCCCCGCCAAGCGTGGTGCTGCGCTGGCCAAGTCGTGTGAGTCGATGCCCGTCGTGCTCTTCTCCCATGGTCTCACTGGTGCGCTCTCAGTGCCTCCCCTCGCTGCACGCGGCGCCTCGCCACACAGCCACGCCGTGGCGCACACAGGCACTCGCGAGGTGTCGCAGTCGCTCGGCCTCACGCTTGCGGCAGCGGGCGCCCTGGTGTGCTCCGCCCTGTGCCTCGCAAAAAGGAAGACTGGATAATTTGAGCACCGTGAACTAGGTTGTGCTCGTCGAGCACACCGACGGCAGCTCCACCCTCGCTCGCTCCCTCGACGGCTCCTCCCTCCCCTTCGACCACTCCCTCTACGATCTCGGCAAGGTCAATTCATCAATCAAGCAAATTGCGAACCAACCTTTAAGTCTGTTCCCAAACTATAATCACATTCTGACTCCCTCTCCCTCCCGACCTCGGCCAGGACCCGCCCACAAAGGAGTACGTCGCCGCACGCCGCGAGCAGACGGAGCGCCGCGCTGCGGAGCTGAGGCGCCACCTCACCCTGCTCCGCCGGATCCATGGCGTCGCCCACTCGCGGGCAGAGACGTACGAAGAGTCGCTCTTCACAGCTGAAGCGCGAGGCGCCCACTTTGTCGGTCTCTCGCCCTCAACTCCGTCCGTCTCAGTGGCACTTGTAGAGTAGGCAGCGCAGCCTCGTCTCGACTATAGGCGCCTCGCCCTCCTCCTCCTCCGTTCGGCTCGACGGCATCCCCGCCGCCGACACGGCCTCGCTCCTCACGGCGCTCGGAGAGCGACTCGATCTCTCCCGCTCGGTGGTGGCCGGCCACTCGTTTGGCGGCGCCAGCGCGCTAACCTTCGCATGCGAGGAGGAGGAGCTGCCTGTCGGGAAGCCGCCGATTGCCGTGGTGGCGCTGGATCCGATGGTGGATTGGGTTCCGGAGCGCGTGATGGCGAGGGCGGGCTACGGCGAGCACGGCAGCTACGGCTTGCAGCAGCCCCCGCTGCAGCGGTACGAGAAGACGCCGCCACTCGCCGAAGTTCCCCTGCTCCTCGTCTGGTCTGAGGAGTGGCAGCGGCTGGGCTACTTCCGACAGTGGAGCGCCAACCTCCTGGAGCGGGCGGGGAGGGTCGACCCGGATAGTGGCAGCGTCTCGCCGACGGGGAAAGTCTCGCCCGCCGGCCGGGCACAGTGGTTAAAGCGCGACCGTTCCCATGCGTGCGTTGTCGTGGGCAGCGGGCACCAAGCGCTGTGCGACGTAGCGCTGCTGCTGCCTGGGCGGCTCAACGCGCTGCTCAAGAACAGCCTCGGGGGCGCGCGCTCCTCCGAGCTCGCAAGCCGGGTCAACGCCGTCGTGCTCGGCTGGCTGCGGAACCAAGGCCTCTTGCTCGAAGGCGGGGAGACCGCCTCGACATGGTACCGAGGAGAGAGCCTGCCGCTCACGCGGCTGCCCGGAATCATGCGCCATCGGTCCGCAGGGACGGACGCGCGCTATTGAGCGACGGCGCTGGGTATCGTGGTTTTCCGTTACGTGCCTCTCGTAGGCATCGGCCATGGGCGTGTGTGCGGTGTGAGAGACCCGACCTCGCACGCGCCCAGAATTTGGTTTGGCGCGCGGGCCACCATCACAGTGGAGCGTGTTTGTAGCCTGGCGTGCCCCGTTTGTGCCACGTCCTGTGTCAGTTCATTCTAGGCAACAGACTTATTTGTGCCACAAATCAAGCTTTTAAGAGAGCAGGTTCCTCTTTTCCGCGCCCCCCCCGCCCCGCAAGGCGCGCGATACACACTTTAACGCGTGCCGCTCGTGCGTCCTTACCGTCCTTCACGCTTCAGTCGACTTCGCAAGAATAAAGCTGAGGCTACCGATCACTCGTGCCTCCCCGTGTTTGTAGCCTGCCCAATACCTCGATGAGGTGACTTGGACCACGAAGAACTGGCTGGGGCTGCAGAAGCAGCGTATCTCGGTCGTTCTTCATACGGCAATCGCAGAGCAGATTGTGCTGAGGGTGTAGAGGATGTAGAGTGTAGAGCGCTGTGTAGAGCTGTGGAGATGTAGAGCGCTGGAGAGCGCTGTAGAGCTGTAGAGCTCTACATCCGCCGCGTGACGAACTGCCTGCGTTGTAGAGCGATGTAGAGGCGCTCTACAACGTGAAATCTCTACAACAAACGCCTGCTGTGACGAGATTTATGTATGTAAAAGAGGGAAGCAGTCGAGAGGACAGGGGAGGGACGCGGCCAGAAAGAGGGCGGGCGCCGAGTTTCGAAAGCCGGCGCTTTCGCGCGTTCGAAGAGGCTTTGCACGGAGTTTGTGCGAAATTTGCGGTTGGCCTTCGCCCTGCGGCGAGATGGCACCGCAGGCGGCGTGCGTGCACGAGGGCGGCGGCGTCGAGCGCCGAGCAGCACACCACGAGCGCGAGCGGCAGCGCCGACGACGGGAGGCGGCGGGCGGCTCGACCGAGCCGGCGGCGGAGGAGGCGACGGACGTCGAGGCGGTTCCCGAAAGACGTAATAATACACAGAAGAAGTTCATCGGTCTTTCAGGAGCGATGTGCTCTTCATCATTCCATTTGTGTTTAAATTCTTTTTGAGAGCGCCTTCGTTGTTAATAATAATACAGACGGATGGACACTTGCTGTGGCCACATGACACACACACTCACACCGCACCGCACCCCGCACCCGCGCCCCCCCCCGCCTCGCCTAAGCTGGAAGGAGATGGGAAGATGGAACAGCCCGAGGGAGAAGCGAACGAAAATACGTATGGTAGGTTGAAGTCATGCACCACGCTGCTCGGCGTTTCTCAATTTGGGAGCCCTTGGAGCACTTGGAGTGCAGTCATCAACCTCACATCCAGGGCCGGGGAGCTGAGAAGCGCACCCAGCGAGCCGGATGATCGGCATCGGGCTACGGGCTAGAGAGCCCTGACCCCTAGGAGGGAGCGCCAATTCTTTTTCTCGCGATGTCTGCCCCGCCGCGCCGCTCGCGCCGCTCGCGCCGCCTCGCCTCCGCCGCCTCCACCGCTCCCTCGCCAGAGACGCCGCCGCCCGCCCGCCTCCTCGACCTCCCCACGGACCTCCTCGTCCGCGCCCTCTCTCGCTGCGACAGCCCCGTCGACATCGCTCGCGTTGCGGCCGTCTCGCTGCTCTTCCACGGCTCGCTCGCGGAGGACGGCATCCGCTTGTGGGCGCAAGAGCGCGGCTTCGAGCTGCCGGCGCAGCCAGAGAGCGAGGGCTGCGCCGTGCGGTGGCTGTGCTATTCAGCGCTGCTGCACGAGTCCAACCCGCCGGCGAGGGCGGCGGCAGGCTGTATGCACAGCCTCTTCATCCACGGCGAGGGGCGGCTCTCGTCGTGCGGGTCAGCGGCAACGGAGAGCGAGGAGGAGGAGGATGCGGTGGACGAGGAGGACTTTCCAGGCCTTCTCGGCCACGGCGAGGGCGTGACACGGCTCCGCACGCCGACCCGTCTCCCTTCTCCGCTCGGCGGCGAGCGCGTTGTGAGCGTGTCGGCAGGGCCTATCCACAGCCTCGCCATCACCGCCGACGGAGCTGTCTGGAGCTGGGGCGATGGAGGCTTTGGGAAGCTGGGCCACGGCGACGAGGAGGAGCAGTGGCAGCCGAAGAAGGTCGAGGCCTTTGCTGACCAGCACGTCGTCGCTGTGGTGGCAGGAGGCGATCACAACCTCGCCCTCACCGCCGACGGCAGCGTCTGGAGCTGGGGCCGTGGAGGCTCTGGCCAGCTGGGCCACGGCGACGGGCAGGAGCAGTGGCAGCCCAAGAAGATCGAGGCCTTTGCTGACCAGCACGTCGTCGCTGTGTCGGCGGGGAACACACACAGCCTGGCCATCACCGCCGACGGCGCTGTCTGGAGCTGGGGCGATGGAGACTACGGCAAGCTGGGCCACGGCGACCTGGAGCGCCAGCTGCTGCCCAAGAAGGTCGAGGCCTTGGCTGGGCGGCGCGTCGTCGCAGTCTCGGCGGGAGGTAAGCACGGCTTCGCCCTCACCGCCGACGGCGCCGTCTGGAGCTGGGGCGATGGAGACTACGGCAAGCTGGGCCACGGCGACCTGGAGCGCCAGCTGCTGCCCAAGAAGGTCGAGGCCTTTGCTGACCAGCGCGTCGTCACTGTGTCGGCTGGAACCGCGCACAACCTCGCCCTCACCGCCGACGGCGCTGTCTGGAGCTGGGGCAATGGCGAATATGGCAGTTTGGGCCACGGCGACCAGCAGCACGAGTGGCAGCCCAAGAAGATCGAGGCCTTTGCTGACCAGCGCGTACGACACGTCGCTACGTCGGCGGGAGGCTACCACAGCATCGCCATCACGGCCGACAGCGCCGTCTTTACCTGGGGCGAGGGCGCCTGCCTAGGCCACGGAGAGGACCTGTCGAGCCAGCTGCTGCCGAAGAAGATCGAGACGTGGGCACCGGGGCAGTGATGAGAAGGGCGAAAGGGTGCAAGCTCTCGAACGTAACCCGAAAGTGGTGAGCGGTGAATCTCGAGCGGAGGAGATGTATGATCGCGCAGGTCCAGCTCATGGTGATTGGTGTCGAGCCTTTGTGTCGTGTCGCGTTGTAGGGCCTTGCGGGCGGGGGGGGGGGGGGGGGGAACTAAGAGGAACCTCGCGGTCTTCGTTTCCAACATTCTATTCTTTTCCATGCAGAATTTTGACGTACGGCTTTACACCGCAGACTACCGGCCCTTGACGCGTGAGCCGAGTCCCGAGAGAAATAACGCGCTCTTGCACGAATACGAATACGGAATAGTTGGCAACTTGCTCTGTCCAAAAGCAAAACCAACACGCAAAACGCAGTGGCTCAGCCTCAGGCGCTGGCGCCATCTCCAAGTCTAAGTCACAAATTCGACTCTTGCATACGCATGTTTTCGGCCTGCACAACCCTGCTTTCAGCAATCCGACTCGGCGCGCTGGTAGATGAGCGGAGTGACGCTTGACAGCTCCCTCCACACCGGCTGCCCCTGCTCGTTCTTTTGGTGAAAGTCGAGCTTGCCCGCGCTGCCGCCGTTCGCGCCGCCGCTCGCGCCGCCGTTCGCGCCGCCAAACGAGAAAGTCTGCCGTGCGCCCGGCGCCGGCTTGACATACGCAAAACCGTCCGGCCTCTGGTGCACGCCAATCAGAGGCTCCGATGTCACCGCCTCGCCGCCCGCACCGCTTGTCCGCGTCCGGCGGCTCGCGCGGCACGGCCGCCCGTCGAGCAGCGCGTCCACCTGCGGAGAAGTTTCCGAGAAGAAGCTTCCGAGAAACTTCCTCTCAAGACGCTGATCTCGACGAGAGATCCCGACTCCATCTCGGCCGTCTCAACTAGTGAATCGCCGTGTGCTCGATGTCCTCGTGGAGCACCCACTCGCCAAACCTAAAACGGAAACCCAATCGTCGACAAAAAGAAAGCCGCCCACCGGAAGCGGAGCACCCCCTCCAAACCCGCGGAGCTCGACGGCGGCGCCGAAGACAGGCGCGCCTATCAGCAATGCTGTTCAGTGCAGGGGCGCATGAGTGATCGACGGCGGCGCCGACAATCGGCGCGCCCATCCGACGCTCCACCTGCCGGAGCTTGTCGGCGCGCTCCTTGGCCTACGTGCTGAATACGCCACCCTCGGGGCGGGAGTACGGTTGGGTGCAAAGTATTCAGAGACCACGAGCGACACGAATACAGCGAATACCTTGGAGCTCGTTCGAATCCAGCGGAGTCCGTGTCCTCTCGAGCGCTACTTGGAGCACAGGGATGCGTCCTCCGCTTCTAGGCGCAGGCGCCTCGCCGGCCGAGAGGGTCACCGAGGTGATCGAGCCCGTGATGATGTTCCTCTCGGGGTCGCGCACCACCTAGGCGCGACCGGCAGGACGTGCCGGACGTGTCCTTGACGAAGGCGCGCGGGTGGGGTGGGGTGGGGGGTGGGGGGGGGGGGCAAGGCTCGCGCCTGTGCAAGGCTCTCCCCATATCTCCCCACACCTCCCCATATCTCCCCATATCTCCCTCAAGGGTCGCGCCTGGGCCAGGCTCTCCCCGTGCACCGACGCGACCACCGCCGCGCCCCGCCCGACGATGGTGCGTGCCGCCTGGCACTCTTCTCGCGTCGAAAGCTCGTCCACCACAACCACGTCCGGCGACTGGTTCTCGATCGCCTCGATCATGACCGTCGCCTGCGGACAGGCCTCGGACGTGCCGTGGACGTGTCCTGGACACGTTCCGCGCCTCAATCATCGCCGCCGCCTGCCCGCCCCGCCGGTCCTGCACAGCAGTACGCACGCAATCACCCGACAAAAGGGCCGCCGAGGGCAGCCGAGGGGCAGCCGAGGGGCAGCCGAGGTCAGCCGAGGGGCAGCCGAGGTGCAGCCAAGGGCAGCCGAGGTCGGCCGAGGTCAGCCGAGGTCAGCCGAGGTCGGCCGAGCACACACCTGCCCGACGGTGAGCACGCGCGCGTTGCCGATCGCCCGCTCGACGGGGACGGAGTCAGTGCCTACTCGCTGCTGATCTCTGCTGATCTCGGCTGATCTCGGCTGATCTCGGCTGATCTCGGCTGATCTCGGCTGATCTCGGCTGATCTCGGCTGATCTCGGCTGATCTCGGCTGATCTCGGCTGATCTCGGCTGATCTCGGCTGATCTCGGCTGATCTCGGCGGGGGACGGAGTCGGCGCCGCAGATCTCGAGCGTCTTGTCGACGATGCAGACGATGGTGCCGTCGTCCGACGCGAGGAGCCTCGCCAGCTCGCGCAGCACCTGAGGAGGAGTGGACAGGAGACTAGCGAGGTCGAGCTCAAGGAGGAGGGAGGAGCCTCGCAGCTCGCGCAGCGCCGTCGTCTTGCCGACGTTGGGAGGGCCGATGATGAGCAAGCCTGCGCGCGAGTTCACCCGAGAGTACCCGAGATCGCCCGAGATCGCCCGAGATTGCCCGAGCTCCTCGCGATGGGGAGCCAGCCTCCGCGCGAGACGAGGCGGACAAGCTGCCGCACGTCGCAGCCGCCCTCGCCGCCCAGCATCGGGGCGACGTGCCCCTGCAACGTGCGGCCGATGAGGAACCTTCTAGAAACCTTCTAGGAACCTTCTAGGAACCTTCTAGGAACCTTCTAGGAACCTGCAGCGTGCGGCCGATTCGCGCGACCAGCCCGATCATGCCGAGGCCGTCGGGGTTGGTGACGGCGTGCACGATGCGGGAGATGCGGTGCAGCGTGCCTGCTCACGGCCGTACGGTCGTGAAGAGACCACGGGCAGCGCGCGGTGCGGGAGATGGTGCGGTGCAGCGTGCCTGGGATGCCTGTGCGGCGCGCGTCCTGTGGGTCAAGGTACCGTGGGGGTAGGGGAGGGCGGCTTCAGGTGCCGTGGGGTAGGGGTTGCCTGTGCGGCGCGCGTCCTTGCCCATACCGCGGAAGAGCGGCACGAAGGCGGAGAGGTGGTCCACCTGTCCACGAGAGAGGCGGAGGCTGCTGTCTCGCCCGTTCTGTCTCTAGGCGGAGGCGGCTGTCTCGCCCTTCTTGTGCCGTCTCCTCGCCCTTCCGTCTCTCTATCCACAGAGAAGACGCCAGAGAGAGAGAGAGAAGAGACGAGCTCGTTCGAGATTGCCCAATATCACCCGAGATCACCCGAGATTGCCCGAGATTGCCCGAGATTGCCCGAGATTGCCCGAGATTGCCCGAGAGAAGAGGCGCCTCCACGAGCTCGTTCGAGCGCATGGCGAAGTTCTTGCGCCGCTTCGCGCCCGCGGGAGGCTGGAAGACGAGCTCGAGCCGGCGGCCCACCTGGAGGAAGGTTCCGAGAAGCTTCGCCTCTTAGGGCTTCGGCCCACAAGAGCGAGGCGCGGTCGTACCACGAGGTAGATTTCCTTGAGGTGGTAGCCCTCCTGCCCCTTCTCCTCGATTGCAAACTGCACCGCCTCCCGCACCGGGCCGGAGGGGATCTTCTCGAGGAGGAGGCCGATGTCCTGCTCACAAGCGACGCAGGCGTCAAGGGACGCTGTTCACACGCGGCAGTGCGAGCTCGGAAAGGAGGCCTGCTCGTTGAGGGCCTCCTGGTCCGCCGGTAGCAGCGCCGTCGGGTCCTCAAACGGCCACTGCCGCACGCCTCCAACGCCCTCCTCCTCCTCCCCAGCCTCTACCGCCACAGCCGCCACCTTGATGCGCGTACGCAGCCCGCGGCCTTGGTGCGAGAGCGGCTTGGCGCCCTCGACCGCCCGCACGAAGTGGTCGGCCGCGGCACGGCTAGAGAGGTGCACCGTCGCAACGCCGGTTGCGCCCGGAGCCTTCTCCACTCGGCTGCCGGGAAACGCGAGAAGGGCGGCGGCGTAGGCAGCCTGCACGTCTGCGGCGCTGGCGCTGTAACTTAGGTTGGATACCTCGACGCAGCAGACGTCAACCTCCATTCCGGTAATCATTCGCAGCGCACTCTGTCGCTCAAGGCGTTCTCGGAACTCCAAGCGCCGGGCTCAGCGTGCGTGGCGGGGGGCCCTTCCCGCCGGAAACATGCGCACCAAAAAAAATCTTTTCCAGAACTACGACTTCACCTACGTACATCTCGAGCCCCCCACGCCCCACCTCACGCGCACGCCCAGCTACCAAGCAGACAGAGACACAGCTGCTTGCGACGCAGTGAGAAGCTGGAGGCTGGCCAGCAGTGGCCTCTGTGTTCTGCCGTGGTGGCCTTGGGACACCCTGCCTCACTGCCCCGCCCCCCACGCCTCGATCTTCTTGGGCAGCAGCTGATTCGACAGGTCCTCTCCGTGGCCTAGGCAGCCGTTGCCGCCCTCGCCCCAGGTAAAGACAGCGCCGTCGGCGGTGAGGGCGAGGCTGTGGTCGCATCCAGTCGACACAGTGACGACGCGCTGCTCAGCAAATGCCTCGACCTTCTTGGGCAGCAGCTGCAGCTGCTCGTCGCCGTGGCCCAGCCGGCCAAAGGTTCCACTGCCCCAGCTCCAGACAGCGCCGTCGGCGGTGATGGCGAGGCTGTGGAAGCGTCCAGCCGACACGGCGACGACGCGCTGCCCAGCCAAGGCCTCGACCTTCTTCGGCAGCGGCTGGCGCTGATGGTCGCCATGGCCCAGCCTGCCATCGTAGCCACTCCCCCAGCTCCAGACGGCGCTGTCGGCGGTGAGGGCGAGGCTGTAGCCGCTTCCAGCCGACACGGCGATCACGCGCCGCCCCGCCAAGGCCTCGACCTTCTTGGGCAGCCACTGGCTCTGCCCATGGGCCTCGCCGTACTCGTTCGGCGTGTCGCCGTGGCCGAGCTGGCGAGAGCTTCCATAGCCCCAGCTCCAGACACTGCCGTCGCCGGTGATGGCGAGGCTATGCCCGCCTGCAGCCGACACAGCGACGACGCGCTGGCCAGCCAACGCCTCGACCTTCTTGGGCAGTAGCTGGTCCTCCTCGTCGCCGTGGCCTAACCGGCCCCAGGCTCCAAAGCCCCAGCTCCACGCAGCGCCGTCGGCGGTGACGGCGAGGCTGTGGCGGGGTCCAGCCGAAACAGAGGCGACGCGCTGGCCTGCAAAGGCCTCGATCTTCTTGGGCTGTAGCTGGTTCTGGTTATCGTTGTGGCCCAACTCGCCTCCGCCTCCGTAGCCCCAGCTCCAGGCAGCGCCGTCAGCGGTGAGGGCGAGGCTGTGCGCGGTTCCAGCAGACACGCTCACAGCGCGCTCACCCAGCGATGCAGGGAGGCGGGTCGGCGTGTTGAGCCGCGTCACGCCCTCGCCGTGGCCGAGGAGGCCTGGGACGACGTGATGCAACACACCCTCGTCGTGATTGTAGAGTGAGTAGCCCATATCATAGCCGCACGAAGAGAGCCGCCCCTCGCCGCCGATGAAGACGCTGTGCGTTTCGCCTGCCGCAGCCCTCGCCGGCGGGTTGGCCTCGCACAGCAAGGCAGCGAAGCACAGCCACCGCACGGCGCAGCTCTCGCCCTCTGGCTGCGCCGGCAGCTCGAAGCCGCGCTCTTGCGCCCACAAGCGGATGCCCTCCACCGCAAGCGAGGCGTGGAAGAGCAGCGAGACCGCCGCGACGCGAGCGATGTCGAGGGGGCCGTCGAAGCGAGAGACGACGCGCACGAGAAGCTCCGTGGGGAGGTCGAGGAGGCGGGCGGGCGGCGGCGTGTCTGGCGAGGGGGCGGCGGTGGCGGCGGAGGCGAGGCGGCGCGAGCGCCGCGAGCGGCGCGCCGGGGCAGACATCGCGAGGAAAAGAATTCTTCCTAGAGTCTAGGCGACGGTGGCGTCCTCCGAGACCTCTCCTACGGGTCAAGAACAAGTAAGTGGAGGTAGGTAGGTAGAAAGGCGAACAAACAACAGCCAGGCTCGGACCGGTAGTCATGGGTGCGCCTGGGATCATGGCTCTCTCTCTCTCTCTCTCTCTCTCTCTCTCTCACTGGTCACTCTGGGCCGGCGCGGGGGCCCCAGAGGGTGTCCATGCGGGGGGGAGATGGGGTCCCATGGCCCGCCGCAGGCGCCGATTTTTTGGATTTTTTTGGCCATTTTTTACTTGTTTTCATGGGAACTCGGCGTACTTGCGGCCATGCTATCACGCCTTGCGACAGCCTGTCGGCGCTGCTGACCGTGCCATGACGCACAATTGATCACCTGCATAGCTCGCGGCCTTAGTATCAAGCATTCAGTGATGACCTGATCCTACGGCCAGTAGGAAGGTGTCCTTCCATCGTGTGCACGCTTCTGGCGCAATGCGCGTCGCCTCGGATTGGCTGCTGGCACTCTCGAGGCTATGCCTACGCAGCCTCGCGCGCATGGGCAGTCAAGAGGGACCACGCACCTTCTCAGGACAGCGCCGGTGCCTCTCTCTTGGACCGGCAAACGTGGTGGTCTCGTGTCACCGATGTGGGACCAGTGCGGCATCGCGCCATCGACAGCTCTGAACTGCGCCTCACCACTGACCGGGAAGGCCGCCAAGTGGGCCAGCACAGGTCGCACATTGTGGCAGCAGTCAGCAGATGCATGTCTGATAGCTAGAGCAGCAGCGTCAGGGTCGCAGGGTGATCGTGTCAAGCCTCTCGCCCGGCCGGCCGCGTGCAGACGGTCGGCCTGTCTTCTGTCTGGAGTGATCTGTCGGCGGTCAGTACGACCGATCAGGTCGGAGTTTCTGATGGTTGGAGGGTCTATCTGTATGTACTCCTCGAGATCTCTCCAAATCTGCCCTCTGTTTAACCTAGCTTAATCGGGAAGTTGGTGCTAACGGAGACTAACGGAGCCGGGGCCCCGTTTCCGCTCTGCTGCGCGGCGCACGGTGCCTCCGGGGGCCCCCGCGCCCCCCCAGAGACTGGTCATCGCGCTCATTGTAATAATCGCGCTCGCTTCTGGGCCGACGGTCATCGTAGCCGCTGGGGTGGTGGCACGGGTAGCCGGGCGGCTGCCCAGCCATGCCGGGGTGGTGGGGCGGAGGGATGTGGGGAGGGTAGCCCGGCGGCATGCCAGGCGACAGCCGCGGGGGGGCCGTACCCCATCCGTGGGTACCCGCGGGCGGAGGGCCGGAAGGCGGCATTGGCGCCCGCTGCGGCGGGCCGGGCGGCGGGCCGGGGGGGCACGTCCTGGACCAATTTTTGATCAATTTTGGGGGGGGGGGGGGGGGGCGTGGCCCGTGGGGAGCGGCCGTTTTGCTCGTCGAGCCATCGACATTCCTTCGCTCCGATACAGAACATGCATTGCGACACACATGCGTCCCATCTCCCAACCCGCGGCCAGCCCACGAAGTTCTGAAAAGAGCCGAGATTTTTTCTCTGGGTCCCGCTGGCGCAGCTCATCACGTACACTGATCTCTGGCACTGTGATCCCTAGGAGTCGCCCTGTCCCACACTTACGCGCGCGCCCTCTCAGCTCGCCTCACTTGACCTCGCCCGGGAAGGCCCGCCTCACGCGGGATGGCCCCTTTGCCTCGCTCGGCGAGGGGCTCCTCGCCACCGTGGTCGGCAGCCGCGCGTACCCTGCCGCCTCGCGCGGCGGCGCCTAGGCACAGGTAGGTGGAGGGGTGGAGGGCAGGCTGACCTGTGGCTGGTCACCGGGCGGTCAGGGTTTGGTGCAAGCGAGGCGGGGAGAGAGAGAGAGAGAGAGAGAGAGAGAGAGAGAGAGAGAGGGAGGGAGAGAGAGAGAGAGAGAGAGAGAGAGAGAGAGAGAGAGAGAGGGAGAGAGAGAGAGAGAGAGAGGGGGGGGGGAGAGAGAGAGAGAGAGAGAGAGAGAGAAAGAGAGAGAGAGAGAGAGAGAGAGAGAGAGAGAGAGAGAGAGAGAGAGAGAGAGAGAGAGAGAGAGCGCGCGCGACGGTCACACCGGAGCGACACACAAGATGGTGGGGCAAGGGCCAGGGCAACCCTCGCGACTCCACGTCTAAAAGGGAGGAGCCGCACGGCATTCAAAGTGCAAGGCCCGGCGTGTGGTGTGGGAGGCGGCGCCTGCTGGTACGACGCCGCGGCGAAGATGCACACAGCTAGCGAGGCGAGCCTGGCGGCGGGTCGGCGGTGGAGGAGGGAGGGGGCCGAGTGGGAAGAGGGCGAGCCGAGCACCCGCGAGGCGAGGCGTGCATATCTGGGCTCTATATCTCGGCTGTATCTCGGCTGCATCTCGGCTGTATCTCGGCTGTATCTCGGCTGCATCTCGGCTGTATCTCGGCTGCATCTCGGCTCCATCTCGCCCGACGGGCGAGGCGTGCTTGTCCCAGATGAGCAAGTTGGCGAGCACAGTGACCATCTTGTTGGCGACGCCGAGCACCTTGCCCGAGAGGAGCCGAGGGGAGCCGAGATCAGCTGAGAGGAGGAGACGAGAGGAGCCGAGGGGAGCCGAGAGGAGGCCGAGAGGGGCCGAGAGGGGCCGAGAGGAGCCAAGATGGCATTTGGTGAGCGGCGGCGAGAGCACCGTGTAGCAAGTGGCAGTGACGAGCGAGCGGCAGTACCTGCCCGCACCGCACAGCGCCGTGAGCAGCGAACCTTCACAGCTGTCCCGGAGGTGTCTGCGAGGTGTCCCGGAGGTGTCTCGGAGGTGTCTCGGAGGTGTCTCGGAGGTGTCTAGGAGGTGTCTCGGAGGTGTCTAGGAGGTGTCTCGGAGGTGTCCCGGAGGTGTCTCGGAGGTGTCTGTGGAGGTGTCTGGGAAGTGTCCGGGAAGCGTCTGGGCGTGCACCATCCAGTGAAGGAGATTGCGACTCCGACGACGCACGAGAGGGCGAGCAGGGCGACGGAGCCTGAGATATGGGGAGATATGGGGAGATATGGGGAGATATGGGGAGATACGACGGAGCCTGGTGAGAGTGTGACACTCTTCAGTTGAGAGTACGCGACCCGACACGGCGCACGAGGGCGAGCCAAGGGAGGCGGCGAGCCGGCGCTGAGGTGCGTGATGCGCACTGTCTCCCCATATCTCCCCATATCTCCGCATCTCTCCGCATCTCTCCCCATCTCTCCCCATCTCCCCCTCACCGGTGCTGAGTTGAGAGGTGCGCACTGTCTCCGCCTCCGATGCAGCGAGCCTGTCGGTAACTCGCACCATTAACTCCATTCCGGGGAGTCGGCCACCCGCCTCCGAGGCAGCGGGCCTAGAGTACAAGAACAGGTAGCCTGCCACAGTGTCATGCAGCGTAAACTCTCCGCCTCCTCGAGGAGGCGAGCCCGATGGCGGCCATAGGGAGGAGGGAGAGCGAGTTCGAGTAGAGAGTCGGGCCCCAAGGCGACGTGAAGCCGAGGTGCGGCCCGACGATATGCTTCCCATACGCCATCTCCACCGAGAGGATGCAAAAGTACGCGCCGACCCAGCTGTTCACAGCTGCAGGTGTGAAGAGACGCCGCTCACAGCCTTAAGGCGCCTGCCGCTCGGAGGGAGCGCACCTGTTCACAGCTGCAGGTGTGAAGAGACGCTCCTCACACCACGACCGGCTCGCCGCCGAGCAGGCACCCGTACGCTCGAAGGCCGGACAGCTTCCACTGCGCGTCGGTCAGGACGTACGAGGTCGCGCCTGGGCGGGGGATGGGAGGTCCAGCCGACGGCTCTGTGTGTGTGTGTGTGTGTGTGTGTGTGTGTGTGTGTGTGTGTGTGTGTGTGTGTGTGTGTGTGTGTGTGTCGGGCTACGTACGACGTCGCTCCTTCTCCACGCTGCTCTCAGGCTCTCTCTCTCTCTCTCTCGCTCGCGCGCGGGCGGTGCGTCTCTCCTGCGACAAGCAGCAGCAGCGAGGCGAAGGAGCGCGCAGACGGCAGCTCGCGGCCGAGGAAGAGGTAGTCGAGGAGCGAGACGACGATGGGGCAGCAGGCGCGGAAGACGATGAGCGTCTCGACGTTGCTGTTCTGCAGCGCCTTCATGTTGCAGTAGATGGTGCACACAAACATGCCCGTGTATGCGAGGTACGGCCGCACCTTCTCCCTCTCAAACCCATCGACGGCGGCGAGGCCGCTGGTGCGGAGGAAGAGGCAGAAGAGGGTGCAGACGGCGAACTGTATCGTCGCGATGAAGGACGGAGCCGGAATCGCGTGGATGCACAGCTTGTTGATGATGAGCAGCGAGCCGGAAGCGGCGGAGAAGCTGAGCGCCGCAAAAACCGCCTCGCGGCTCTCGAGGGCGCAGCCGAGCATCCAGAAGCGAGAGGCGGCAGGTTGGGCTCGGTGGCGGCAGTGGGGCGAGGAGGGAGCGAGCGGGCGCTGGTGTCGACGGTGGCGGTAGGAAAGATTGTGGGAAAATACGAGGCGGACTCGGCACTCGCTCGTAGAACAGGTCGGCGCAGAGGATTTCTTTGGCACGTGGACGGATCTCACCGCCATCTCGACCGCGTCGTCCTTCGGCGGCAGCTCCGGCGCATTCTCGGACAATCTCGGGTAACAACCTGACGTAACGCGTATTCCGCGACGGATACTCGAGCGGCCACGTATACAAGATGACGCTTCCGGCGACTGCCCACCAGCGCGGCTTGTTCTCTCGCACAGCCTGCCACACGAGCCATCCACCGCCGATTTCGGCGAGACCGGCCAGAAAGAAGAGGAAGGCGACGTTGAAGGCGACGATCGGGGTCCACTCCATGTGTGTATCAGTCAGTTTCGGCGGAAAAAACAAAGTGCACATTCACAGCTTGTTAAAGATTTGGGGCTCCCCGAACTTGACGAGGAATTTGTCGGAGAGGGTTTTCCAGTCACGTTTTGGCCTGGTACGGGCAGGTGCGTTGTACGGGCAGGTGCGTTTGTGCCCCGTTTGTGCCGCGTCCCGTGCCCCCGAGTTCATTTTGTATAGTGAGCGGAGTGTATGGCGGCCGCCGCGTCGGGCACGAACACCAAGTCGAGGAGCTCGGAGACGCCGGCAGAGCCGAACGAAGAGAGAGCAAAGGCCGAGCAGCCCAGACCAATCACCACGGAGAAGAAGATGCACAGCGACTTGGACGAGCAGAACTTGCTGAAGCGGAAGCCGGGGCTCGAGGTCGGCTCGGTCTCCTTAACGGCGCCCTGGAGCGACATGCGGACGAGGCTTAGTCACGAGCAGGGCGCGCCCTGAACAGGCTAGGCAGTACGCGCCGAGGGCGTCGTCGACGATGGGGCGTCGCCGACAGACGCATTGCCGGAGCCGACGCCAGCGACGTCTTCCTTGTCGACAGACGCGTTGCCGGAGCGGGCGGCAGCGAGGTCTTCCTCGTCGATGTCCGTTCCGAGCAGGGCGGCGAACCCGTTGGTCGACCGCGTGTGCACAGAAAGGTGCTGGGAGGTGCTCACCGCCGGGGTGGGCTCCTCCAGCGGAAACTCCTTGGTCGAGACGGTCCAGTCGGCGTCGCCCTATAGGCACACCGAACGCGGCACGAGTGTCGGCGCCACCAGCACCGCGCTCGGTCTCGCTCAGCGAGGCGGCCGAGAGCACAGGCAAGCCGCAAACGCGCATTTGGGACGCACGTTTTTGCTTTTTTTCAATGTCTCTCTCTCAGTGTATGTAGCTCTTACGAACATACCGCGTAGGTGAACTGCTGACAGGGTTTGCGATGAGGAGCGATCCGAACGTGGTATTCGGGTGATTAGATCATTACCGCCGAAGCGCAAGCGCTTGGAGCAAGGGAACCGCCACGTATGGGTCCCATTTTCAAAAGAATTTTACGAGCTCCTCGCGCCGCGGCCCAACGCCTCCTAGTATTATTTCCCGGTCGGCGTGAGATGCCCGCCCACGCCGAGCTCCCGCGCTCAACATGCTTTCGCAAAGCCGCCCGAAGGGCCCGAGCTGGCGACTAAGAAAGAAAGAAGACACACAACCCAAGGGAGGGATGGGAGAACGGCACGCCGCCACCACACAGGGATTTTAAGGAGAGGAGGGTGTGATGCTATGAGCTGGCGACTCTCTCTGCGATGGCGCGCCAGGAAATTGTTTTTTTGCGTAAGATATGGCGGATCCTCGACCTTCCAACTCGACCTTCCAATCTGATGGCTGAGGTCCGCCTCATCCTCTCTCCCCTCTCATCGCGCAAGCTCCGCTGCGACCTCGAGCTCATCGATGAGGGAGGACAGCGCCATCCGCCGGCGCAAGGCGTCCTGTCTTCGTTCGAGGCCGCCCGCCACGCCTGCTCCGCTGCGACTCCTGGCGGCGCTTTGGTGGTGGACGGCGTCGTCGCACGGCGGCGCCACATGGGCGGCCACTCCTTTGTGGACCTCGTGTCGGGCGGCGCTGCCGAGGGGCCGTCGCTGCAGGTCGTCGTCAACGCGGCCGATCTCGACGGCAGCAGCCTGCGCGGGCTGTCGCTCTCGCTGCTGCTCCGCCGGCACTCGCGCCTCCGGGTGGCTGGCACGCCCGGCCGCACGCGCAGCGGCGAGCCGTCGCTGTTTGCCCGCTCGCTCCGCCTGCTCCGCCTGCCCGCCGACCCGGCCTGCGTGCTCAAGGCGGCGAGGCTGGTTGCGACATGCGCCGACCTGCCGGCCGAGGCGGCTGCGGAGGCGCTCGGCTGCGTCGAGGAGGAGCTGTACGAGATTGTGCACGAGCTCGAGGCTGCGGACGGCGGCGCCGAAGCTGCTGCTCGGCCCTCTCCTCCGAACTCTCCCTGATTTGAGTCCGAAAGTCGTTGATTGGTTAGGCGCCGAGCTGCTCGGCCCTTCAGAGGCTCCGGCGGCGGCGCAGCGGCTGGCGCTCTGAGCGTGGGTCTGCGGCCCTTTGGCTAGCGACGTCCTAACCATTCGAATAATGGAACGGCTGCAGGCGCGCGCTCTGAGCGCGAGGCTGCGGAGGCAGGGCGCGAGAGAGGCCGGGCCGGGCTTGCGCGGGCGGAGGAGGGAGCGGCCTCCGCGCTTCTCGGCGGCGGAGCGTGCCTGCTGCTGTTCAGTGAGTGGCCCAAGCTCGAGAGGGGGCTCGAAGCTCCTAGGCGGCGGAGCTGGCCCTGCTGCGCCGGCTCTCTGCGGCGCACTCGGAGTGGCGGGCCCAGTCTGTGCGAGCCAGCCGGCGGCGCTTTAGCAGTTGTTTATGATTAGTTCTCGCTGTTCGTAGGCACTCCGCCTTTCTGGGCCAGCTGGTGCCAATCAGCGCACACGTCCTTGACCACTCAATGAGGTACGTTCAGGCATCCCATCTTCTCGGACCAGCTGGCGCCATTGGCCGAGGTCGGCGCGGCGCTGAGTGGCGCGCTTGCGCCATAGAGCGAAGGCTCGCTTTCTTTTTTGCGCGCACAGGTTTCTTTTCTCTGCAGGCCCGCTAGCGCTTGAGCGCGGCTTGCCTGACGGGTCGCGCGCCGCCGAGCTTCGTGGAGGCGTACTTTCTGAGGGTGGACTGGTCCTAGTGAGCTGTTGGTAGGTTCCCCGCCGCTCTGAGATGAAGGGAGTCAAGGGAATTAATTAAGGCCGTTGCCTACGAGCTACGTGGTAGGTTGCCAGCCGCCGAGCTCGAGATGCGCATGCGGCACCGCCGCGAGAAGAGGGGCGGAGTGGGCCGCTCACTCTCGAGCATCAGCGAGCGTAGCTGCCGATAGGTACTACCACGAGAAGAAGGAGCCGCAGCTGCGGTGGACGCTGCGCGCGGGGACGTGTCGTGGACGTGTCGTGGACGCGCCTCCACTAGGTGCCGCAGCTGCGGTGGATGCTGCGCGCGGGGACGTGTCGTGGACGTGTCGTGGACGCGCCTCCACTAGGTGCCGCAGCTGCGGTGGATGCTGCGCGCGGGGACGTGTCGTGGACGTGTCGTGGACGCGCCTCCACTAGGTGCCGCAGCTGCGGTGGACGCTGCGCGCGGGGACGTGTCGTGGACGTGTCGTGGACGCGCCTCCACTAGGTGCCGCAGCTGCGGTGGATGCTGCACCAGGCGCTGGTGTAATGTAAGAGAAGGATGTGATGTCGTATAGGACATTAATAGCATGTAAGCGGTGGTCGTTGCACCAGGCGCGCGCGCTGCTGGGGGGCAGACAGACTGCCGCCGTCCCTTCTTCCGACGCCGAGCCGCTGGTCATCGACCTCGGCTGCGGCAAGGTCGGCCTGAGTTAGCTGACTGACCTAGCCGAATCATCTGAGTCGACCTCGGCGGCGTGCAAGCTCGGCCTCAATCCGCTGACTAAGTCCCGCTGAACAATCGTGATGTATTTTGGCTGGGCGGCCAGGGCGACTTCGCGCTGCTGCTCGCGGCGGCGATGCCGCAGCTGTGCGTGTCTCTCGAGGCCCCGCCCCTTTGCCAGCCCCGAGCGACTCAGCTCTTCATTCCCCGCCGCTCGTAGGCGCGTGCTCGGCACGAGTTAATTGCCGGCGCCATTAACTGATTGACCAATTAAACAACCGATTAATTATTAATTAGGCGCGTGCTCGGCATCGACGCCAACGCCGACGCCGTCACGTACGCCTCCGAGCGCGCCCTCGCCGCCGGCCTGACCAACACGTGCTTCCGCGTCGCCGACGCCGCGTCGCTCGAGGCAGCGCCGCCCGCCGCCAGCGCGGCGCCGCCCGCCGCTAGCGCGGCGCCGCCCGCCGCCAGCGCGGCGGCGGCGCTGCCCTCCGAGCACGACGGCGGCGCGGTCGCCTCGCTGCGGGAGTGGCACGCTGCTGACGGCGCCGAGCTCTGCCCGTGCCGCCGCCTCTGCTCAGTGGTGTGCGTGTGTGCGTATTTGACGGTTCCGCGCCGCTCGCTGCTCAGGCGCCGAGCTGGTCGTCGCGTTGCACGCGTGCGGCGGCACCTCTGATGTGCCGAGGCCGCCGGTGCAAGACGCTTCACGGCGCAAGGTGTGAACAGGTGCGGCGGCCTCTCGGACGTCGCGCTCGGCCCCGCAGCAAGGAGCCGCGCCTCGTGCCCCGTGTCTGCGCGCCGTTCACACCGCAACTTGTGAGCAGGCCTCGCCGCCAAGTGCGGCGCCTCGTGCCTGGTCTGCACCTGCTGCTTCGGCAAGCACCGCCGCCTTTGCGCGGCGCGGGAGTGGGGTGCGCCGCGGCGTCGAGGAGGGGGAGAGAGAGGTGTTCACGGCTGCAGTCCATGAAGAGGCGCTGTTCACAGGCTTGCCGTGCGAGGAGGAGGAGAAGGACGTCCTCTGCCGGATGGCGGACTGCGTGGAGGCGTCTCCGAGGCGCGTCATTCTTTTTAATCCTCGGACCGTTCTGAACGAGCAGTGGCGATTTCGTAGGACTCGATCTCCGACGAGGCGAGGCGCGTGATCAGCAGCTTGAGGCTCGAGCGACTGCGCCGCACGCTGCGCCCATCGAGCACGCTCGTGCGCGCAAGCATCCGCACCTTCCCACGCAACTTCTCGCGGCAGAATGTTGTCCTCGGCGCCGAGTGCGCGCCGTGCGCTCCTGTGTTCTGAAGAGTGAAGAAATGCAGACCGCGAGATGTGAATTCGGCTCTAATTGGGGCAAAGCGCAAACGTTCGCACGCCGCGTGCCTAGCGGCAACTTCTCGAGAGGTGGTACGAGAGAAAAAATCGCGCCCCCCGGTCTGTCATTAAAATCCCTGTGTGGTGGCGGCGTGCCGTCCTCCCATCCCTGTTCCCTCCCTTGGGTTGTCTGTTTTCTTTCTTTCTTTCTTTGCCATTATCCACCTCGAGAACCTCGAGAGTAACTCGGACGTTTTTCTTCATTTTAACTTATCCAAGGCCGGCGCTCTGTGTGCCGCATCGGCTCTCCGCGCCTCCTCCGCGACGCAGCCAAGCAGCATGGCGCTCCTCCCGTCGGAGCGAAAGAGCCTCCTCATCTGCGGCGGCGCGTGCATGCTCGTCCTCTTCACCCTGATGGCGATGAACGGCGGCGGCGGCCGGCACATGTCGATGCGAGACTGGTCTCCGCAGCCAGCAGCGCCTCCGACCTCGGATCTGCTGAACGAGATGAAGGCGCTGCAGACGCGGATCGCCGAGCTGGAGCAGCGGCTCGGCGCGCGGCACGACCGCCGGGCGGATCGGCGCGAGAGTGCGCTCGAGCGCGCCGAGCACCGGATCGCGGCGGTGTTTGCAGAGGACACCTCCGAGGTGGTCGTCTCCACCACGCCCGCCGCGCTGCCGACGGCGGCGGCGGCCGTCAAGGGCGGGGCCCACGGCGGCGACGGCGGCGGCGGCGGTCCGAGCGGCGGCGGCGGCGGCGGCTCTGCCGGAAGCGGCGCCGTCGGTGGCGGTGGTGGCAGCGGCGCTGTCGCCGCCGCGGCGCCGCTGCGAGAGCTGGCGCTGCCTCCTGCGGCGGAGGGGGTGGTCCCGAACGCGAGCTGGTGGAGCGACCGCATGGTCGAGCTCCCCGGAGGCATGTGGTGCCCTAAGCCGCCGCCGTTTGCCTCTGCCAAGCCGGCGCTGCCGCTGGTCAAGGCGGGCGAGGAGAAGCCGCGGCTGACCAGCGAGCTCGCGAAGAAGCACGCCTCGGCGGACAACATGCTCATCGCCACGTACGTCAACTACAACCGGCTCGACTTTGCCTTCACGCTGGTCCGCCACCTCATCGCGCTGCAGCAGCCCCACTACCTCGTCGGTGCGCTCGACGATGAGGCGGGGCGAGGGCTGCAGGCTCGCGGCGTCCCGACCTTCTTCATGTTAATTAATTGAGTAACTAATTCATTAATTCACTGCAGGCTCGCGGCGTCCCGACCTTCTTCATGTCGTCCGGGCTGACAACAAAGGACTACGGCTGGGGCACGAAGAACTTCCGCGAGCTCGGGCTGCACAAGGTGAACCTTGTGCTCGAGCTCGCGAAGACCGGCGTCGACTGCCTCACCATCGACGCCGGTCAATGACTCAATTAATTAATTCATCAATGAGTTCATCGACCGCTAGGCGTCGACTGCCTCACCATCGACGCCGACGCCTTCATCCTGCGTGACCCGTTCCCGTACTTCCGCAAGCTCCCCGAGGCGGAGGTTCTCACGTCCTCGGACCATCTCGTCGCGACCAACGGCTACGCGGACGACGGGCTCGAGTCGTCCTCCGGCTTCTCGTCCGCCTTCAACATCGGGTACATCTTCATCCGCGCCTCCGCGCCCGAGTTTGTGCAGCAGTGGAAGGAGGCGTGAGCAGCGTCTCCTCACTCATCGAGCTGTGAGTAGGCGCTCGAGTTTGTGCAGCAGTGGAAGGAGGCGTGCTTTGCACACAAGGACAACTAATTAATTAAGTAATTAACGACGTGATTAATTAAGTAATAGGCGTGCTTCGCAAACAAGGACGCGTGGGACCAGGCGGGCCGTCGCCTCGAGACACACTCTCGGCGGTATCTCGGCTGCATCTCGCATCCGTCGTCTAGTCCGCACCACAAGAGAGTGGACTCCATCAGCAATACACACACGAGGTTGGCGCGCGGGCGGTCAGGTCCTCTTTGCGAGTGTGCTGCGGCGCGGCGGCGGCGGCGGAGTGGACGAGCACCGCCTCAAGCCGCTGTTCAAGAAGGCTGGCGGCGGGCAGGTCAAGGCGGGCGTGCTGCCCGTCTCGCTCTTTGCGTCGGGGCACACACACTTTGTGTCTCGCATGGCGCACCTCATGCGCTCCACGCCGTACATGGTGCATACAACCTTCCAGTACGGCGGCGCGCAGGGCAAGCGGCACCGGCTGCGCGAGGGCATGATGTGGGAGGACGCGCCCGAGTACTACTCCGGGCCGGACTTCCTCACGTACGAACTCGACCTGCCTCGCGCGCTCGTGTACCCGAACGGTGGCACGGTCGGCAGCGACGGCACCCTCCCCTTTGACAAGCGCGCGAGCGTCGAGCAGCACTTTGCGCTGGTCCACCACCAGCTGGCGCAGGTCCGGAACGGGCTCGCGCTCGCTAAGGCGACCGGCCGCATCCTCATCCTTCCTCGCCTCGTGTGCGGCCTCGACCGCTGGTGGGCGCCTCACAGCGGTATCATCCCCGGCTCCGCGGCGAGGCTGCCCCTCCTCGACTGCCCCGCCGACCACGTGCTCGACGTGGAGAGGATGGGCAAGGTGGAGCCGCTGCTGCGCGAGCACTCCTTCCTCTGCAACCCGCGCACGCCCGCCTCGGTGCGCGGCTCTGTCGCGCAGCTGGCGGGCGCGCGGCCCGAGGCGGGCCCCGCCGCCTCCGCCGCCGCCGCCGCGCTCGTCCGGCAGATCCAAACGAGCGGCTCCAAGGTGGTTCGGCTCGCGGCGGTGCCCGACTACCGCGCCGTGCTCGGCGCCGACACAAAGGCGTTCGAGGACAAGTACAAGCAGTATGCCGGGCTGTGGTGCTGCAATCGGCCGCCCGGCGGCCGCGGCGCGGGGCACATCTGGTACGACCTCTTCGCCGACATCGTGCCGCACACCGACCGGCACAACCGCCGGTGGGAGGGGCCGTGGTTCCCGAAGATGGGGCCGTGATGCGGGGCGCGTCTGCCGTCTGTCGGCGCACGCTCGCCCACCACACGATCCACATCAAGGGAATGGAGAAGGCCGCGCCGCCCGAGGTCGCTAGAAAGTAGAATCCCGGCGCGGGGTCTCACGTATCTCGAGAGCGGCGCGTTGGGCATATATCCGGCTTCCTGCAAACAACGTAATATATCTTTACTTCCAACACCCGGGGACAGGGAGTGCGTGTATCCAGCTTTCGGTGCGTCCCCGGTCCCGGCAGCGCGCGCAGGCTGCGGAGCTGCCACAAACTCGAGACACGCTTTTTGGGACCTTTTCGACGCTTTTGGTCACCAGCCGCCAGTACTGCCTCGCGTCGCTCGGCATCGCCGGCCAGATCTCGCGCCACACGTGGTTCTTCATGTGCTGCAGCGCGACGTACACCCTGTGTTCTCGCCGCGACCCATGCGCACCGTCGGCTCCTCCTCCCGCGCGTCGCCCCGCTCGGTCGCGTGCCACCGGCTCGCCCTCAATGCTATCACTCGCGTCGTCGCCAGCCACTTGCCGAAGCGGATCGTCCACCGCATCGTCGGGTGCAGACCGAGGGCCGTCCGCTGCATCGGCACGCTCTTCCCCGCCGCGGCCTGCGTTGCCAGGAACTCGCGCAGCTGCCGGCGCACGCGCCGAAGCTGCACCGACAGCGCCGGCCCGTGAGGCGCTAGCATCGGCTGCTCATCGCCACGCGCAGCCTCGTCCTGCCGCTCGTCATCCTCCGCCTCGAGGGCGTCCGCCAGCGCGCTGCGCCGCACACCCCGGCGCGCGGGAGGCGGCGCCGGCCGCACCTCGGCCGCCTCGGCGTCGCCCACGGCACGGGCGCCCTGCTCGCCGTCCGCGCGGTCCATCGCCGCATCCCCATCCCCGTCTGCAGCAGCGCCGCCTGCGCCCGCGCCGGCCTGCTCTGGGACGGCGCGCCACCGCTCGTCGTCCAGCATGTGCCACCACCGCCGATCCGGGTAGCCGTCGTACTCGACCTGGTGCGCGATCCGTCCGTCCACGTCCTCCTCCCGCGCCATGACGGTCGCGGGGTACCACCGCTCGGTGTCACAGTAGATCTCGAGGCGCGCCGTCCACGGACAAAGCGGCTCCCCCCACCAAAGTTGAATGTAAGTTGAATCGTCTCCTCAGATACATACATACTCGCACAACGAGCCGGCAACCTTTCCGCATTCCAGCGAGCGCCGTGAACGTTGTGAGTTGTGTGCGTGCGCACGGTGCGGCACGGGGCGCAATCCTGCTCGACGATCAATAGAGCGCTTCTCACACCTCGGATCTCAGTTCGCTCGCGAGCGCCCCAATCTGGCCAGCACCACTGGCACTCACACAGGTACATACACCACGGGGAGCCGCCAAGTACACGGCTTCAAGTAAGCGGCACGAGTCACAGAGGAACCACCAACCAGAAGGCGACGGCGCGACGCGCTTCTATCGCAGTCTTGATGCAGTGGGCTTAGGTAGGTGCGGTGTGGGTATCGAGATTTGTTTGGTATCGATCGATCGATGCGTCACGGCGGCGATCTCCACGCATTGAGCACGCCTCGCGCAACATGCGCGTACGGATAGAGACCCGGTTAGGTTAGGTAGGAAGGTGAAGAACAGCCAGGCTCGGACTGAACACCAGGCTCGATTGCCGCCCGAATGAGTGGGAGGGGGAGGCTGTGTCGCCGATGCCGACGGCACGAAAGTTTGTCGGCATGGCGGTGCTTGATGGCAAGCTGTACGCGGTGGGCGGCCAGAGTGAGGCTGACGGCGCAATATCCGACCTGGTGGAGCGGTACGACCTGGCTACGATTGCGTGGGAGGCTATGGCACCGATGGCGTTGGCGCGGAAGAATTCCGCCGTGGCAGTGCTCGAGGGCAAGCTGTGCGCTGTGGGCGGCTTCAACGGTGACTACCTCAACTCGGTGGAGCGGTACGACCCGGCTGCGAACGCGTGGGAGGCGGTGGTGCCAATGGGGACGGCTCGGTGTAATTTTGCTGCGGCGGTGCTCGACGGCAAGCTGTACGCTGCGGGCGGCTTCAACGGTGACTACCTCAACTCGGTGGAGCGGTTCAACGCGGCTACGAATGCGTGGGAAGCTGTGGCGCCGATGGCGGTGCGGCGGATAGCTTTCGGCGTGGCGGTGCTCGACGGCAAGCTGTACGCTGTTGGCGGGTACGACGACGGCTACAACGCCCTCAGCTCGGTGGAGCGGTACGATCCGGCGCTGGATGTGTGGGAAGCGGTGGCGCCGATGGCAGAGGCGCGGTATAAGCTCGCCGTGGCGGTGCTCGACGGCAAGCTGTATGCGGTGAGCGGACAGGATGACGGCTACAACCGCCTCAGCTCGGTCGAGCGGTACGACTTGGATACGAATGCGTGGGAGGCGGTGGCTCCGATTGCGACGGCGCGACGCGCTTCTATCGCAGTCTTGATCTAGTGGGCTTAGGCGCGGGTGCGGCGGCAGGCGGGTATCGCTTCTCCCAGCGGGCGAGGACGGAGACCTCTGTCAGATCCCGTTTTACACAGAGCACAAGCTCGCGCGAGCCATGCCCCATGCGTGCCAGGCTGTCTTGTGTGATGGTTGGGATGTCCAAACGCCACCGTCTTTGCTCTTGCGACCTCAAACTCGCGAGCTGTATGGGTGGTCCTGACGTCGACAGACGCCCGATGACCACGGTGAAGCTGAGCCGGAACGCGTCGACAAGTCTCGTCTGAGCCCGTGGCGGTCGCCGGCTGACGGGCTGAGTCGCTGTGCACGGGCCGGTACCTCAGGCGTCACCTCCGCAGCCTCAGGTCTCAAACTCCATCACCTCCGACGGGACGCCTTCGGTGGCACGCTCGGCGGCGAGTTTGTAGCCGCTCCACAGCGAGCGCGGCGTCGAGCCTACTCTCGCTCCTCTGCTGGATACACGCACTCCCTGGGACCCAGGGAGTGCGTGTACCCAGCTTTCGGTGCGTCCCGGCAGCGCGCGCAGGCTGCGGAGCTGCCACAAACTCGAGACACGCTTTTTGGGACATTTTCGACGCTTTTGTCCCATATACTCGCACAACATGCCTCACGCGTCCTCGTCACAACGAGCAACGAAGCCCCACAAGTGAGGCCAAAAGAGCGCGTCACCGCAGCAGCACGCGCCGGAGCAGCAGCGACAGCTGCGCGAGCGTCGTGCCGCCCTCTAGCCGAGCGACCTCGTGCGGCCGCATCAGCGCCCCCCCCGTCTCGCTCGAGCTAACGTCGAGCAGAGGGCCATGGCCGCCGCCTACCCCCTCCGCGCCCTCGCTTGACGGCGCCGCTGCGCCGGCCGACGCGACCAGCGCCACGCGCACCCACGGCCCCGCGCCGCCGCTCGGGCCGCCCCACCGCGGCGAAGGGCGGCGGGCGGTCAGCTCGCCACCCTCGAGTGAGAGGTCCGCCTACACGTGCCGCGGGCGCGTCTCGGAAGGGTCTCGGAAGGGTCTCGGAAGGGTCTCGGAAGGGTCTCGGAAGGGTGTCGGCGCGTCTCGGAAGTGTCTCGGAAGTGTCTCAGGCGGCCTGCAAGCCGAGAGCGTCGGCGGTCGCCGCGAGAGCAGAGAGGAGCGTGCGGCCCAGCAGCGCCTGCACCACCCCGCCCACGCTGCGCACGTCGACCTCCCCCGTGAGCCCTCGCAGCAGCGTGGCGGGGGCGGCGGGGCGCACCGCGCCGCCGCTCGCCGCCGCCGGGAGACGCTGGCCCGTCGCCGCCGCCAGCTCGCTCACGCCGCAGAGAGGCGTGAGGAAGAGTTCGCAGCCCGCGGGCCCACCCGCCACGCTCAGGCACGCGCCAGCCGCCACCGCCTCGCCGCCCGCCCCTCCCCGCCCCTCTCGCGGCACCAGCGCGCGCAGCTCCACGAGCGCCGCCTGAGCAGGACGCCAGAGGAGACGCGTCTAGAGCGCCAGTGTGTGCGGGGAAGCTGCGCGCGCAGCTCAAACGAGGCCGCCGGCCCCGCGCCACCATGCGCGCTCGCGTCGCCCGTCAAGTACTCCCAGTGCACCTAGCGTCGGTTGACGCCCTCTCGGAGCGGATTCTTGGGCGCTGGCTGCCGCCCCTACCCCCACAGCACCCAAATCCAGGGTATGCCTTTGGGGGGGAGGGTACCCGCGCACTCCTCCCAACGCACCGAGAGGCGCGGGTAGCTCCACTGAGCTGCGACGGCGTCGAGGCGGAAGCGGAGCTGCCTGCGGGAGCAGAGTCGAGCGGCTGTCGACTGTGACCAGGCTGGCGGCGTCGAGGCGGAAGCGGAGGCGCCCTTTCCTGAGTGGCGTCAAACGAGGCAGCCGCCACAACGCCTTCGAGAAGCCCCACCCCCGCCTAGCTCTCAGCGACTGTGACTGAGGAGAAACGGCCTCGTCATGGAGCCAGCGCGCTGGCCTGTGACAGGTTCGAGGTGCGGGCCATGGGGGCCATGCAGGCCCCGGGGGTGCGGGGGGGGCTGGGGGGGGGGGGGGGCATTGAGGGCCTCAAAGTCACAACCATGTTCACAGCCTCCCCGACTCGTGAAGAGAAGCGCCACCGCGGGCCGCAGTCTCGGCGGATCTCTGCGGATCTCGGCGGATCTCTGCGGATCTCTGCGGATCTCTGCCAGTCTCTGCCAGTCTCTGCTACTCCCAGACCTCGCTCCGGCGAGAGCTTGCCGTGCTCGCCTCCAGCGCCGCCCCCGCCGCCCTGCGCAGCAAGCCTACGCCATCGCCGAGCACCCGTCACTCTCACCCCGCCCTGAGGACCCTGCCCCCCCCGCCCCCGGCAAGCAGGCCGATGTCGGCAGCGCCCAGCACCGCCGCCGCAGCGCTGGGCGCTGGCGCGGCGGGGGAGGCCTCGCTTGCTCGCAGAGCGGGAGAGGAGGCGCCCCACTCGGCGGCGGCAGCACCGGCTGCGGAAGCGGCGGACGGGGCTGGAGCGGCGGCGGCGGTGGCAGGAGCCGCGGCGGCGGTGGGTCGATCGGCGGCGGCGGCGGCGGCGGCGGCGGCGGCGGCGGCGGCGGCGGCGGCGAGTGGCTGCGGCGCCGGCACGCTCCGCAGCTCCACCCGCAGCATGTGGTGTGGCGTGGCGCCGCATCCGAGCAGCAGCGAGCGGGTGGTGCCGCCGAGCGAGGTTAGCTGCTGCGGACCTCCTCCTCCGCCCCCGCCTCCGCCGCCCCCGCCTCCGCCGCCCCCGCCTCCGCCGCCCCCGCCTCCGCCCCCTCCCCCCCTCCCTCCCGCCCCCGCCTCCGCACCACCCCCCGCCCCACCCCCCGCGCCGCCCCCCGCGCCGCCCCCCGCGCCACCCCCCGCCTCGTCCGCTGCCGCGCGGGAGGCGAGTGCGCGGTGCAACGCGCGCGCGCGTCGTGCAGCCAGAGTGGCCAGCAGAGAGCGATGCACACTGCCCAACCCGCCACCGCCTCCGCCACCGCCACCGCCATTGCCGCCACCGCCACCGCCTCCGCCTCCGCCTCCGCCTCCGCCGCCGCTGCCGCCGCCGCCGCCGCCTCCTCCCCCGCCCCCTCCGCCCCCGCCGCCTCCTCCCCCGCCGCCTCCTCCTCCTGCTCCTCCGCCGCCTCGCCGCCTCCGGCAAGTTGGACCCGCAGCGAGTAGCGCCGCTCCCACGCCCCGGACCGCGCCTGTATGTGGGGAGATGCGGGGAGGTGTGGGGAGCCGTGGGGAGGTGTGGGGAGGTGTGGGGAGGTGTGGGGAGGTGTGGGGAGGTGTGGGGAGGTGTGGGGAGATGTGGGGAGGTGTGGGGAGATACGGGGAGATAGCGCCGCCCCGACGCTCCGCGCTGGACAAGCCGCCCGGGGAACCTCGGAGGAACCTCGGAGGAATCTCGGAGGATCTCGGAGGAATCTCGGAGGAATCTCGGAGGAATCTCTTAGGCGTTTTGGAAAGGGGAAGGGGCTTGGAGGAGTCTGGGAGGTGTCTGGGAGGTGTCTGGGAGGTGTCTCGGAGGTGCCCCCGGAAGTATGCGCCGGAGGTCTCTCGGAAGTGTCTCGGCCGTGTCTCGGCCATCGCCCCCACCGAGTCCACGCCGACCACACGCCAGTGCGACCGCAGCGCAGCCACCTGGCAGGCAGACAGCAGCCGTGAGGAAGAGGGGGGGGGGCCTGCGGCCACACACCTCCGTGCAGGCTACGCCATCCTCCGGGCGGGAAGACGGGCACTGTGCAGCGTCTTCAGAGCACCGCGCGAGCACGAGGGGCTGCGAGCACAGTCATTACAGCGGAGTAGAGTACGAGTACAGCGGAGTCCGTCTCCTCTCGAGCGCTGGTGGGAAGACACGAGTCCGTCCTCCGCTGCTAGGGGCAGGGGCTGCTAGGGGCAGGCGCCTCCTCACACAGCGTCTGCTCCGCACTCAGTCGCGACGCGAGCCTAGGTCATGCATCAACTCTTAGTCATCAACTAATACTTATTAATTAGGCGCGGCGCGAGCCTAGGCCATTCATCAATTCTTGAGACGTAAGTAATACTTATTAAGTGGACCCGCGGCGCGAGCCTAGTTCAGCAGGCGAACCGGGGGGGGCAGCTGGCGATGAGATACGGGGAGATGTGGGGAGGTATGGGGAGGTATGGGGCCCCGCGTCCCGCTTCTAGGCTGCGGTGCGGGTCTCGAGGTCTCGAGGTGCGCTGATGACGTCTCATGTCCCTCGCGGTTGATGACGTCTCGAGGGATGGCTTACAACCTTGAGGCACTACCGCCGTCCCGCATCTAGAGGAAGCGGCCCGTCGGCGCCGTCGCTCAGTGCGCGCGCCGCGCCTCCGATGAGTGCCCTGGCCCTCCGCAGCTGCAGCGCCGGTTCGTCCTCCGCCTCCCGGATCGGCGGCGGAGGCGCCGTGAGGGCAGTCGGAAGGAGGTGCCGCCGGCCTCGCAGCAAGTCGAGCGCCTGCGGGGTGGGCGGCGGAGGCTGCGGGCGACGCCTCGCTCGGCTCGGCTCGGCTGCGGCGAAGCCTGCGAGAGCGCTGCAGCCTCGGCCCTTGCCGCGTGAAGCCTGCCGCTGGCCAGCGCGTGCTGCGCGGAGTAGTCGCCGGGCGAGGTGCCGTCGATTGCCTCGTCGGAGGTCGCGGCCGGGCCCTCCTCGCGAGCCTTGGCCTCGTCTTCGTCGCTCTCGTCGTCTACTTCCGCCTCAATCGGCGCGAGAAGCGTCTCCGCGGGCAGGCCGCGCACGACTTTCAGCTGAGAGGCGGCGAAGGCTGCGATCGGGTCGGCGGTCTCGGTGCCCTCGTCGGCGAGTCGGACCGCCTCGCGCAGAAGCGGCTTTTCCAGCAAGAGCGACATCGAGTAAAGAAAAAGAAAAACGCAGTCGCCGAAAAGGAAAGAATTTTTCTTCGGCGGGCACGTCGCGCCGCATGGTGGCCGCGCTGCGCCGCTCGCCGCTGGCGCGCGGTTGATCGCGGCGCCGACTCCGCGGCGGCGCCATCTCACGCAGCGGGGCGCGTCGCGTCGTCGGCGCCAAAACAGACGCGAGCTCGCGGCGCGGCCGCGGCAGCAAAAACATCAACCGTCTACTTCTCCTTCTCTTCTCGTCTCGTCTCGTCTTGTCGCAGGCGCACACGCGCGTGACGTGCGCTCGTGTCGCCGCGTTCGCTCCGCGAAGGACGATTCGAACCGGGAGCCAGTCGGCGCAGCGGCGGCACGCGGCGGCAAAACGCACGACGCTCACCTCATGGAGATGCTGCTGCCTTGGCACCTCCTGATATAATGCTGATTTTTTGCTGAGCGGGGCGGAGGCACGCGGGCGGCGGAGGCGGCGGCGGACGACGTCTACTACCTGGCCGTCCCCTGTGGTAGCTTAGCGATCAGGGAGGATCTACCTGTTCGGCCTCGAGGAAGCTGCTGGGGGAGAGAGGGGGGGAGAGAGGAGAAAGTGCTGCTCCGGCGTGCAGCAGACGCTGCGGCGCTGCGGTGCCGCCTCCCCGCCCTGTCCACGGAGCAAGCGCGCGGCGGCACGGCCCTCCACCAGCTGCAGGAGGTGCGCACTTCCCAGTGGAAGCACAGGATGCTCCCTCAGCACACGCAGCTTTGCGCAGCGCAACGCACGGGCCACGCCACGCAAAGCCGACCCTCAGTCTGCCCGAGAGGTGGTCTGCGGAAGGCCTGGCAAGCGTTCACTCGCCTCCTCCGCGGCCATGCCCTCCGCCCGGGCGAGCGAGCAACACAAGAGTGGAGGCGGATCGCCATACTAAGCCCGGCGCTTTTTTCTTTTTCTCGCGATGTCCCCCCCGCCGCGCCGCTCGCGCCGCCTCGCCGCCCCCGCCTCATCCACCGCTCCCTCGCGAATCACGCCGACGCCCATCCGCCTCCTCGACCTTCCCACGGAGCTCCTCGCGCGCGCCCTCTCTCGCTGCGAAAGCCCCGTCGACATCGCTCGCGTCGCGGCCGTCTCGCTTCTCTTCCACGCCTCGCTAGTGGTGGAGGCCATCCGCTTGTGGGCGCAAGAGCGCGGCTTCGAGCTGCCGGCGCAGCCAGAGGGCGAGGGCTGCGCCGTGCGGTGGCTGTGCTTCGCTGCGCTGCTGTGCGAGTCCAACCCGCCGGCGAGGGCGGCAGCAGGCGGCTTCCACAGCGTCTTCATCGACGGCGAGGGGCGGCTCTCGTCGTGCGGCTGTGAGGCAGTCTTCCCAGGGCTGCTCGGGCACGGCGAGGGCGTGACGCGGCTCAACACGCCGACCCGCCTCCCGTCGACGCTGGGAGCCGTGAGCGTGGCGGCAGGAGCGCGCCATAACCTTGCCGTCACCGCCGACGGCAGCGTCTGGAGCTGGGGCTGGGGAGCCGCAGGCCAGTTGGGCCACGGTGACGAGGAGGAGCAGCGGCAGCCAAAGAAGATCGAGGCTGTTGCTGGTCAGCGCGTCGTCGCTGTGTCTGCAGGAGGCGCCCACAGCCTCGCCCTCGCCGCCGACGGTGCTCTCTGGAGCTGGGGCGATGGAGACGATGGCCGATTGGGCCACGGCAACCAGGAGTGGCAGCTGCAGCCCAAGAAGATCGAGGCCTTGGCTGGCCAGCGCGTCGTGGCTGTGTCGGCAGGGGAAGACCACAGCCTCGCAATCACTGCCGACGGCGCTGTCTGGAGCTGGGGCGGTGGAGGCGGGGGCAAGCTGGGCCACGGCGGCGGGCAGAACCAGCTGCTGCCCAAGAAGGTCGAGGCCTTGGCGGGCCAGTGCGTCGTCGCTGTGTCGGCTGGAGGCGCCCACACCCTCGCCCTCACCGCCGACGGCGCCGTTTGGAGTTGGGGCTATGGAAGCTGGGGCCGGTTGGGCCACGGCGACGAGCAGAACCAGCTGCTGCCCAAGAAGGTCGAGGCCTTTGCTGGGCTGCGCGTCGTCGGTGTCTCGGCTGGATGCTTCCACAGCTTCGCCCTCACCGCCGACGGAGCCGTCTGGAGCTGGGGCGAAGGAGCTTGGGGCCGACTGGGCCACGGCGACGACGAGGGGCAGCCGCTGCCCAAGCAGGTCGAGGCCTTGGCTGGGCAGCACGTCGTCGCCGTGCTGACGGGAAGAGACCAGAGCCTCGCCCTCACCGCCGGTGCCGTCTTTACCTGGGGCAAAGGCGAGCGCGGCTGCCTTGGCCACGGAGAGGACCTGTCGAACCAGCTGCTGCCCAAGAAGATCGAGCGTGGGCGCCGGGGCGGTGAGCAGGAGGGTGTGGGTGCGGGGGGCGCATTACCCGCCTGAGGCTGAGCCAAGTGCTGTTTCGTTCGTGGTGGATGGGCCCACATATTGGCACTCTTTGAGCGGCGCGTGGCGCGGTGGGGTCGTCCGACGTGCGTCAGATCGAGTTTTTGCTTACTCTTCGTTAAATTGAAATCCTTGGGTGTGGTGCCTCGTTCCACGTTCGCAGTTTTCGGGAACGGGATGATTTATATTATGGTAGTACGACACAGTGCGGCGCTGCTCTGCACACAACACGTCCTCCAGCGATACTAATCGGGAAGCGTGGGTGGAAACGGAAATCGCAGATACCGAAATCTGCCCCGGTTTCGGCTCTGATCCTTAGACCCCGCCGCGCACCCCCTCCCCCAGCCGCGGCGCTCTCAGGCGGCCACCTTTTGCCGCTTCACGGCACCGACGTCGGCGTCGCCCGAAGAGGGGCCGTTCGCTGGCGGCGGTGCGACCGCGCCGCCGGCCAGCTGCTGGGGCGGCTCGGACTGTGGTGGCTGTGGCTGCTGCGGCGTCGGCGGCGGCTGCGGCGGCTGGGTCTGGGTGTGCGGCTGCGGCGTTTGTTGCTGCGGCGGCGGTGGCTGCTGCTGCGAGGGCTGTGGGGGCTGTGGGGGCTGCTGCTGCTGCTGCTGCTGCTGCTGCTGCTGCTGCTGCTGCTGCTGCTGTGGCGGCGGCTGGCTCTGGCGCGAAGGGACGAAGGTCGGCTTCTTGAGGCCTGTTACCAGCGAGCTAGTGTTCAGTAAGGGTGGAGCTTCGAGGTGACGAGGCGGGACTACTCTGAGAGGCCGGCGAAGTCGAAGAGCAGCGGCGTCGACTTGACCTTGAGCGGCCTGTTCCGCCTCCACGCCTACGAAATGTCTTGGGACTCGTCCTTCAGCCCGACTGCCATGGAAATCACTTGTTCGGATCTCCGACACTCGCCTCGTCCGCGTCCAAGTGTCGCTCGACGAGCGACGGCGGGCAGATGCGCCCTGTCGACAAGATGTGCCGCAGCAGCTGCTCTGACCTGTTCAACCACCACGCACCGTTGGTTGATCGGCTCCAGAAACCCGGCCTGCCGCAGCAGCTGCTCCGGACCGCTCCGCTGCGCGCGACGGCTCGAGCTCCGGTGTCAGCAGTGACCGCCTACGATCTCGCACGGCCTCGGGTCCTCCTCGACCGCCACCACGGCGCGTCCCAGCGGGGAGAGAGAAGGCCGCCGGTACTGCCGACAGCTGCCGCCGCCGCGGTCGAACATCACGCGCCCCCCGCGGCCGACAAACGCATACGAACGAAGCAATCCGCGCCCGCCCCGACCCACCCCGGCAAAGGCCGGCGCCGCGTCGCCCGCACCGGCGCTGCTCCCCGCATCGGCAGAGCAGCTTCTCCCCTCCCCGCTCACCCCCGCCCCCGCCTCCGCCGCCTGCCCCGCCTCCGCCGCCGCCTCCGCCGCCGGCCCCGATGCCGCCGCCGGCCCCGCCGCCTCCGCCGCCGCCTCCGCCTCCGCCGCCCTGTGGCTTGCCCGCGGCGGGAGCGGCTTTGATCCGGGCAAACGGAGGTAACGCTCCAGCCGGCTCCGCTCGAGCGTGTCCACAGACAGCAGCAGCTCCTGGCAAGCCTCCTCCTCCGAGTCCGCCTAGTAGCAGTGAGCGGCTCCTCGAGAAGAAAACAACCTCACCCCCTCGCAGCAGCGTCTCGGCAGCAGCCCGCCTCGTCCGGCCGCTCCTGCCGCGGCGCTGCGGGCGGCCGCTTCTTGCTGCGGTCGCGGTCGCGGTCGCGGTCTCGGTCGCGCTGCCTGCCGCCGCTAGGCCGTGGCTGCGAGGGCGACTTAGACGGCGCGGGCTTGTGCGCGACGAGGCCGCCTAGGAGGAGGAGTTCATGGACAGTTCATTGGCCGCTCATTCGACGGCGCGGGCGTGTGCGCGGCGAGGCCGCCCTCGTCGTAGGCGGGCGGGCGGTGGGCGATCCTGCCCAGCCGTCCGATGAGTGTGCGGTGCGCGCCCTCGGTGTAGTCCCCTCCAAAAGGAGCGGGGAGGGGGGGCGATGGCGGCCTCAGCGCGCGCACGAGCGGCATCGCCAGCTGCTTGCGCCGGCCCACCCACCAGTTGTACGAGAGGGAGACGAGCGCCTGGGGATTGATTAACGATGATTGATTAATTATTAATTAGGCCACCAGTTGTACGAGAGGGAGACGAGCGCCTGGGGATTGATTAACGATGATTGATTAATTATTAATTAGGCCACCAGTTGTACGAGAGGGAGACGAGCGCCTGGGGATTGATTAACGATGATTGATTAATTATTAATTAGGCCACCAGTTGTACGAGAGGGAGACGAGCGCCTGGGGATTGATTAACGATGATTGATTAATTATTAATTAGGCCACCAGTTGTACGAGAGGGAGACGAGCGCCTGGGGATTGATTAACGATGATTGATTAATTATTAATTAGGCCACCAGTTGTACGAGAGGGAGACGAGCGCCTGGGGATTGATTAATGATGATTGATTAATTATTAATTAGGCCACCAGTCGTACGAGAGGGAGACGAGCGCCTGGGGATTGATTAATGATGATTGATTAATTATTAATTAGGCCACCAGTCGTACGAGAGGGAGACGAGCGCCTGGGGATTGATTAATGATGATTGATTAATTATTAATTAGGCCACCAGTCGTACGAGAGGGAGACGAGCGCCTGGGGATTGATTAATGATGATTGATTAATTATTAATTAGGCCACCAGTCGTACGAGAGGGAGACGAGCGCCTGGGGATTGATTAACGATGATTGATTAATTATTAATTAGGCCACCAGTCGTACGAGAGGGAGACGAGCGCCTGGGGATTGATTAACGATGATTGATTAATTATTAATTAGGCCACCAGTCGTACGAGAGGGAGACGAGCGCCTGGGGATTGATTAATGATGATTGATTAATTATTAATTAGGCCACCAGTCGTACGAGAGGGAGACGAGCGCCTGGGGATTGATTAACGATGATTGATTAATTATTAATTAGGCCACCAGTCGTACGAGAGGGAGACGAGCGCCTGGGGATTGATTAATGATGATTGATTAATTATTAATTAGGCCACCAGTCGTACGAGAGGGAGACGAGCGCCTGGGGATTGATTAATGATGATTGATTAATTATTAATTAGGCCACCAGTCGTACGAGAGGGAGACGAGCGCCTGGGGATTGGCGAGGGAGGATGGTAGTGCGCAGCCGGCCGACCCGCAGCTACCGGCCGACCCACAGCTACCCACCAGTGCCACTCTCGTCCGAGAGAGAGAGAGAGAGAGGTGGGGGCCGTGTCTCTGCGGAGGGGGAGATTCAATCTCGGCTGCATCTCGGCTGCATCTCGGCTGTGTCTCTGCAACATCTGCGCGGCATCTCAGCGGTATCTCGCGCCTTGTCGGGCACGACAGCGGCGAGGGCCGCCTCGAGGCCTGGCAGACGACAGGAGCCGTTACCACCTCTCACTCTGGTGCAGGCGAGGTGCAGCCGCCTCTCGAGGTCTCGAGGCCTGGCAGCGGCGGCAGCGTGTCGGCCTTGACAGCCTGCGCGGTTGGAGGAGAGTGTGATGAGGTGCGTGCACAGGCGGAGGAGAGTGTGATGAGATCTTTGATGCGTATACAGGCGGAGGCGGAGAGGGGGGAGCGAGAGAGGCTCGTGTGAGTGGCTTGGCGGCACAACCACACGGAGGGGGCGGGAGGGCGGGGCCTTCGGAGCGAGGACGAGGGGCTGCGAGGACAGTGATCGCGGTGTACTGCAGTGTACTTCAGAGCGTGGTGAGGGGGGGCTCGTGTGGCCATGAGGGAGACGGTCTTGGGTCTTGGGAGTGAGGACGAGGGGGGGCGAAGACGGCGAGTACAGCTGGGTACGGCCGAGTATAGCGGAGTGCGTGTCCTCCCGAGCGCTGGACTGGGAAGCAAGAGTACGCAGTCCGCTTCCGAGAGATGCGGAGGCATGGGGAGATGTGGGGGAGGTATGGGGAGGTGTGGGGAGGTGTGGGGAGGTGTGGGGAGGTGTGGGGAGGTGTGGGGAGGTGTGTGGAGATGTGGGGGAGGTATGGGGGGGGGAGAGCTCTCGGCTGGCAGTTCGCCTTTTCGAAGGTGTCGATCACGCGCTCGAAGGCGGGCTCGTCGATGGCGGGGCCGGAGTACCTAATTGTTAATTAATAATTAATAAGTATCATTAATTAGTTAGGCGCGGCGATGGCAGGGCCGGAGTAGTACCCGGCGCTCCCGTCGTTGAGCGTCTTGAAGAAGGCGTAGCCGGCGGGGTCGATGTCCCAGTCCACGTACCCCGCCTAGAGTGGGAACAGTGTTTACACACTTGTGCCATTATGCACTACAGGTCACGGTTCAGAAGAGGTCAGAGGTCATCATGGCTGATAACTAATCCTGACAGGCGATGTGTCAATCAACCTAACCCACCTGCACTCCGCAGACCTTGTGATTCAGGAGGAGAGGCCGCCGAATTACGCCGCAGATCTGGACTCGATCTCGACTCGATCTCGACTCGATCTCGGCTGGATCTCGGCTGGATCTCGCCTCGGCGCCGGCGCGCTCCTTGATGGCGATAGCGGCGGGGGTCGCGATGTACTTTGCGGTCTGGACGAAGGGGACTGGCGGGCGGAGGGCGAGGGGGTGAGGGGGTGAGGAGGGGTGGTGTGGTGGTGTGGGGGGGGGGGGGGGGGGGGGGGGGGGATTCGGCCGGCTGGCGGCAGCGGCGGCGGTTGGATCGAGGCGAGAGAAGGTCGGACGCTCGCGGCTAGAGGCGGCGTCCAGAGCACTGCGCTCGCCGCTCGAGCGTGCGATAACTGAGCGTGCGTGTCGGACGCCTCTCGGAGGTGTCTCGGAAGTGTCTCGGAAGCGTCCGCCGCGCGCCTTCGCGCTTGATCCGCTCTTGCGGGAGGGAGACGGGGACGGGGATGTCCTTGAGCTTGGTCTGCAGCTCGGTGGTGTTGATTGTGTCCTCCTCCTGCGCACACACACACCGCGCCGGTGGCTCGGACACATCGCGTGCAGAGGCGCGCGCGGCGCGGGCGGGCTTGCGTCGGCGCTCGCGGCGCCAGCGGCCGCTGCCGCGGGCCCCCCGGTGAGGAGGGAGGGCGCGGGTGGGTTGCGGAGGGCGGGCCGCGCCTGATCGTTCTGCACCAGCGTCGCGTCTTCATCCAGCGCGAGCTCCTGGTTCGAGCGCATCAGCGGCAACTTTTTGTTGACGTCAATCGGCCGGCGCCGCATGCCGCCCGCCACGCCCGAGGCGCCATGGCCGGTGGAGGGCATAGCGCGGCAACTGTCACTCTAAACGCGCGGGCCGATCGGCCTAACGCGGGTGGGAGGCGTCGCGCCGGCGAGCGGCGCGCGGCGCTGCTGTGCACCCGCTGCGACCAGCTCACACCTTATTTATTAATTCACGGGCCGGCGAGGAGTGTGTGTGTGTGTGTGTGAGCGCACCACCCCCCAGCACGGGGCGGTGGCTTCGGCGGCTTCGGCCGCTCTGGCGGCTACCGTAGGTGGTAGCCGCAGAATCATCCGCCACCCCGCCGGCATGACCGTCTACTACCACCTCGGCATGAGCGACGAGTACCTGTACGCGCTCGACGACTACTACCTAACTAGGCAACCTGGACGACTACCTACTCTTCTACATCCCCGT